TCAGCACACAAAAATTCGGAGGCGCGTGTTAGGTGCATGTTGATATTTTGATGTGTGTGTTAGACCTTGGCCGCAGCCGAAACTCGTTACTTGCCTGTGGGAAGGACACAGATGTGTCCTCTTTGGCACTGGACGTATCTTTATGGTAAAGTGTGCTCCTGTGTACAGTTGTGACTTGCTGGAATCTAGTAGATGAGTTTAGTCCCTTTGTTTGTTTGTCCCTACGTTTTACATTTTTACCTTTTATGTTTTGTCTTTGCTCTTTGCTGAGTTTCCTCTTACCCCTCTCCCCCTCTTCACTACTACATCTGGGGCTGTGCACACACTCGGTTGTGGTGCTCACACTCCTGTTGTATTCACTCATGCTCATGGTGAGTCTTCTGGCTATTCTTGACATCTCTGTTGCTTCAGTGCTTGCTGGGATTATAACCTTCAGTTTCTGTTTTTTTTGCTTTGGGGCTACACCCAGTGGTTCTCAAGGCTTACTCCTGGCTTTACACTCAGGCCTGGGGGACCAAAGGGGATGCCAGAGATGGAGCCAGGTCAACTGCATACAAGACAAATGCCTTACTAGCCAGCAACCATCACTTTTGGTACCCCACCTGGTGTGGTGCGGGGATCTCAAACAGTATAGCTGCAAGGCCCGAACAGCAGCATCCCCAGAACTCTGACCCCTCTTGTGGGCCAAACCACACAACTAAATGACTGAATTTTAAGCCTCATGCTAACAAGGCAGGAACTAGTGAGCTATCTCCCAGCCACCACCCCTCCTTTTTTCCTTTTGTTTCAGGATGACGTGTGGCAATGCTTAGTGCTTACTCCTGGCTCAGTGATCACTCCTGTTGGGGCTCTGGAGACCATATGGGGTGTCCGCACTGAACTTGGTCATCTGCATTTGCAAAGCAAATGTCCTATGCACTGGCCTATCTCTCCAGTTCCTCAATTATCGGTTTTTGTTTGGGGGAGGGGGGCAAAACTGGCAGTGCAATTACTCTTGGCTCAGGGGTTGCTTCCAGCTGTGCTCAGGGGACCATGAAGTGAGGGGATTGAACCTGGGCCTCCTGCATTCAAAGCTGCATCAACCCCTTCCTTAGCTGTCTGCTGCTTTGTTTTTTCCCCTTGAACTTGATCATGTCTTATATTGAGCTCAGTACTTCAAACATATGAGGCAGGTACTGTACCTTTGAGCTACATTCCTGAATTTAACATATCCCATTCTGTTTTTATTTTGGGGCCACACCCAGCAGTGCTCAGGGCTTACTTCTTGGGGAGAGGCCCCTGTGCTCAGGTCTTTGTGGTCACGCACTCCCTAAAGTGTTGGGGCTTCCATCACCCCACTAGGCTGTGCTGTTTCCTTTCCTGCAGTCCTGGGGCCAGCCCTGAATTCCTGACACCAGTCCTGGGCCTCATCTCCTTTCCACAGGAGCTGGACATGCAGGCCCCAAGCCCAGGATGATCCCACAACTGAAGAAAGGGTGTGAGCCATGGACTCTGGAACTGTAGCTGTGCCACAGGGAGATGGCAGAGGGGTGGTCACTTGGTCACACCCCTAAGTCAGTACTGAACAAACATTTGTTGGGGCCTCAGGGGGTTTTGGTGATTCAATACTTTGGAGAAAGAAGGATCAGGGTCAGCACATGAATCCCCAGAGTGGTCTCAGCTGAAACCCAGCTCACCAGCTGGGTTGTGAGTTGTGAGTGCTTCATTGGTTTATTTTTTTTTTTAGGGGGGGGGTGAGTGGGTCAGGGAACCATATGAGGTGCTGGATATTGAACCGGGGTAGGCCAAGTGCAAAGGCCACATCCTGGTATGGTTCTTTTCAGAAATAAGCTGTGTCATGCTGTATGTCCCACAACTGACACAGGATGACACAGCAAGTCAGTTTGTGACCCCAAACTTAGAACAGAAACAGCTACTCCACAGGCTTAAGCTCTGTAGCAAAGGAAGCTCCAGAGACAAGCTGTGTGTAGCTGACAAATTTCTGCATTTGCTTACTGAAAAAATTTTTCATGAAGAGGGGCTGGAGAGATAGTACATGGGGTAGGATACTTGCCTGGCCCAGGTTCAATCACCAGCCAGCACTGATCCCTAAGCAGAGTCAGGAGTAAGCACTAAGCACCTATGGGTGTATACCCCTTACTTCCCAAGGCCCAGACACTTTTAAAGGCAGGCCATTAAGTACACTTCACTTAGAAAGGCAGCCTTGCATCTTATAACCTTTAGACACCAAACAGAAGGTGCTGTGCTGTTCTGTCAGCACACTGGCCTTTCTCAGGGCTTAATTATTTCATTTTCTTTCTGAATTGCCTGTTCATAGTCTTTCATGACTGACTTGTAGATCTTTTATGAAAATTACTGATCTTTTGCCCACATACATTTATCAGTATTTTTTATTGAAATGTTTTATATCATACACATAAGTAAACTCCACGTGGGCTAAAATGTTCTCCAAATAAAAGAAAACTTGAAGAGAAATGACAAATTCTTATAGTTATAAGGAAAACTCTTTTTTTTTTGCTTGTTGTTGGGTCACACCCAGCGATGCTCAGGGGTTACTCCTGGCTCTGCACTCAGGAATTACTCCTGATGGTGCTGGGGGACCACAAGGGATGCTGGGAATCGAACCCGGGTTCGATTCTACCGCATGCAAGGCAAATGCCCTATCCGCTGTATTATCACTCCTGGCCCCAGGAAAACACTTAAAAAATACCAGAAAGCAAAGATTTATTCTAGGAAGACTTCCAAATAAAAAGAAAAACAAACAAACCAAAAACACACACAGCTACAGGCAGAGGCCAGCGAGAAAGGATATGGAAGCCACCTAGGGAGGTCCCAATGCCCTCAGACCAGCTGAAACTACTTCCCAAGGCCCAGACACTTTTAAAGGCAGGCCATTAAGTACACTTCACTTAGAAAGGCAGAAAGTCAACTCTACATTTTGGAAGGAACCCTGATGTTGGTTACCTGTTGGAGTCAACAATCCCAGTGACCTTCACCTCTGAGACATCCCAGGCAATAGGCTCTTCCCACACAATCATTCTGTTTAATGACCTTTGTTAACTTTCATCATGACAGAATGGTGAGATAACTTGCTGTGCTGAGTTGGGTGGGCTCCAACTCTGAACGCAGGCTGAAGCTTCCTTCTGTGAGAAGTTGGGCTGATGCCTGTGGATGTGGTTCCAGCTATGTGAAGGCAGAACAGGGTGATCTGGTCTGCGGCTGCTGAAGAACACAAGCAATGGCTTTTGCGACCTTAGCCATATGTACATAATGCCTGTGTGGTCTCAAGTCCAGTAAGGTGACAAAAGACGACACCTGTAACCTTGGCCTCTTCAAAGGTGACTTTCAGCAGTCACCTGCTCTGCAGCACACAGTAATGTTCCTTCCTCTCTGTGAGACCCAGTGGTCTCCACTGCCTGGATCTTCACTTCAGGGACCCTCAGCCAGGAAGCCCCCCTGAAGGAGCTTCAGGGAGTGAGGCCAGCACTTCAGGGAGTGAGGAAAGCACAAGCTTTCTTCCATATCACAACACACTGCTGGAACTTGTAGGTCAAAACCTGGTGCTTGATTTTCCCCCCCAGCAGCTGATAATGTGTATTTATGAAGAAGTAGTTCTCTTTTCAGGCCAGAGTGAGTGCTCAGTGGGCTGGAGTACCGGCTCTGCATGCAGGACACTCACTGTCCTGTACCACGCGGTCTCCCAAGCATTGCCAGGAGTGACCAGAGTGTGGGGACCAGAAAAAGGAGCTGACAGATAAAGATAGGCAGCTTATGGGACATTTCTATTCGGAACACTGGTGTTGGAGGTAGAATGCTGCCTTCTACCTCCAGGGTCAGTTCTGTGCAGGTGGAGGAAATTCCTCTTTGGAAAGCCCCTTACAAAGATGATGATTACCATAACTTAAGGCCCTCAGATATGCAAAAACATAAGACAGGTATTTGACCAAAGAATGTAGTCATTCTCCTTTTAGTGATTAATGGGTCTAAGCAACAAATGGTGTAGGTGGAAGACAACCCAGGAGGCTGTGAGCCTCCAGCTTTTTCTCTCATTTCTGGCTCTTTTGTCCCCGATTCAGGTTATTCACTGGAGGCTGGTCCCTGACACCTGAGTACCTCTCTGGTTATGGTTCCATCCAAAAAAAATTCATAGATTTTTTTTTCTCTAGGCATTAAGATGTTTAGGACAATCTGAGAGGCTTGAATCACACATCTCTCAAGTCCTCTGTAGCTGAGTGCTACTAGGATGGCTGATATAAACTTAGTTGCCAGGATTCTTATAACAACAAATAATTTTCAATAATTTTTAAATCTACAAATTAGATTCATTAATGATCAGAATGAGAAAACACAAATGTTTACTAAAAAGTCAGGACATCCTTCAAAATTATAAATAGAAATATCAGAGGTAATTAAAAGAGCTATTGAAATTTAAGAATTTTGCTGAAATACTATGACTCATGTGACTGGAGCTCAGTGTTAGAACACTTGCCTCGTATGTGGGTTTTTTTGGGGGGGAAAGGGAGGGTGCCACTTCCGGCTGCGCTCAGGGCTCATTCCTGGCACGCTTGGAAGACCATGGGATGCAGAATATGGTACCCAGGTCAGTGCATACACGGCAAGCACCCTACCTGCTGTACTAATGCTCTGGTGCTGTCTATAGGTTTAATATCTGGTACCACCAAAGAAATATGTGTATATCTTTAATAATGATTTTTGGAAACATCACATTATGTGAAGAGATGTCCATTTGGGGTAGCAGCTCTGAGGTCTGCTCTACATGGAGCTCTTTGCCAACAGGGGCCCCAGGACTCTGGGGCAGAGAGTCTGTATGCTATGAGTGTGAGTTCTGAGAAAAAAAAAAAAAACTTAAAAAAAAAAAAGACTGAATGTTTACCAAAAAGTCAAGACATCCTTTTGAACAAGGGACATAAACTTAAAGCACCAGATTGTTTTCTAAATTTTATCTAAAAATATTTTTTTTGGTCGTTGGGCCATATCTGGTGCTCAGGGATCACTCCTGCCAGGGCTCAGGGGACCATATGCAGTACCACAAATTAAACCAGGATTAGCCATGTGCAAGGCATGCTCCTTAACCCCGTACTCTCTCCAGCCCTAGAATTTCCCCTAGACCTTTTTCATAGAAAACATATGGTTCTGTATACTAAGGTTTTCCAGCCATATTAAATGATATTTGGTGTCACTTCTTTATATCATTTTATGAAATATGAAACAGCATATCACTTCAGTGCTTAAAAACACTGAACACAGTCCAGCATTCTAATGGCAAGTGCAATAGCAAAATTGCATTTTGGAAAGGTATGTCACATTCTAAGAAAAACACTTTATTTATAGTGTAAAAAGGCTCGACGATGACAATGGTCCTGATGCCCCAACTTCCTGGCATTAAAGACTTAACTACCAAACTACCATTCATTAAAATGAGCGAATCATGGCTGCATTGGCCAAATTTCGTGCGAATGGGACTACTCTTCAGTACAGCTTGAGGATGTTGAGAAAAACAGGCCAGGCATTATCTGAAGTTTTCCTGCAGGAATGCCATGCTCAGTGCTTCTCTTTGGAGTTGTTTTGTGAGTGGATCATTCAAGTCTTCCTTGCCTGCAGGGTTCACAGGAGCTCCCGAGGTCACAGCTTTTTGTGTACTTTCTGGTGCTGGATGAGGTGCCCGTGCTGGTTGAAGGCACGCCCACACTCCCCGCACTCATAGGGCCTCTCGCCCGTGTGGATCCTCTGGTGCTGGATGAGCACCGAGTACTGGCTGAAGGCCTTCCCGCAGCGACTGCACTCATACGGCCTCTCGCCCGTGTGGGTCCTCAGGTGCACGATGAGCGTGGCTTTCAGGCTGAAGGCCTTGTTGCACTGCGAGCACTGGAAGGGCCTCTCCCCGGTGTGGATCCTCTCGTGCTGCACCAGGGACCTGCGGGCGCTGAAGGCGTGGCCGCACTCGTGGCACACGTAGGGTTTCTCGCCAGTGTGCACCCGCTGGTGCTGGATCAGGTGCGAGTGCTGCACGAAGGCCTTCCCGCAGGCGTAGCACCCGTATGGCTTTTCCTCGGTGTGGATCCGCTCGTGGTTCATCAAGGTAGAGCGGTGGCTGAAGGCCTTGCCGCACTCGCCGCACTCGTAGGGCTTCTCCCCGGTGTGCACATTGTGGTGCTGGATGAGCACTGAGCGGTCGCTGAAGGCCCGGCCACACTCGCTGCACGTGTAGGGTTTCTCCCCGGTGTGGACCCGCTGGTGCTGGAGCAGCGTCCTCTTGACGCTGAAGGCCCGGCCACACTCCCCACACTCATGAGGCTTCTCCCCGGTGTGCACGCGCTGGTGGCTCCGCAGCACCGTGCTGTGGTTGAAGGCCTTCCCACAGAGGGGGCACACGTAGGGCCGCTCTCCCGTGTGGATCCGCTGGTGCTGGATGAGGTGGGAGAGCTGGGTGAAGGCCTTGCGGCACTCGAGACACTCGTGGGGCTTCTCGCCTGTGTGGATCTTGTGATGCTGTGCAAGGTCTGAGCTCACTCGAAAGGCCTTTCCGCACTCATTGCACTCATAGGGCTTCTCGCCTGTGTGGATTCTCCGGTGCTTACTCAGCACCGAGCTCTGGCTGAAGGCCTTCCCACACACACTGCACACATAAGGCTTCTCCCCGGTATGGGTTCTCTGATGCTGCAGGAGGTGGGAACTTCGACCAAAGCACTTCCCACACTCCACACACTTGTAAGGCCTCTCCCCACCAGGAACAGGCACGCTCTGGCTTAAGCTCTGCCGTCTAGCAGGACCCAGAGGACTTGGACAGAAACTCTGGTCAGGTTCACCACCCTGGGTAGGTGTTTTCCCCAGAACGGTGGATGTCTTGTTGGAAACGACTGGCTCCAGATTCAAGTCTCCATTTTGTTTCTCTCTCTTTTCTGTTCCTGAATCAAATTCAAAACAAAAACATTAATCCCACTCAAAATGGCTGGAGTGCATACTTTGTGTGCTGATAACCCTGGAAGCCACCAGGAGCACACCCCCAAAATGGAGCTAGGAATAGCCCCTGAGCACTACTGGGTGTGGCCCCATGGGGGGGGGGCTTGCTAATGAGGGGTGTCCAGCCACTAGAAACGACACCAGGCTAACAGCGTGGTTTCAGAGAAGGCACAGATCCCAGCTTAAGAGATCCCACTGCCTCAAGCACACATGGCCCAAGGAAGGGGGATACAGCCTGTTGCCACCTGAGCCTCACGTGGCTGCTTCTAGAGGTCATGGGCAGAACAGACCAGATCTAGGACAAGACAGCTGACATGTACACAGTGAGTGGGGAAGAACTACTGTGGCGAACACGCTGGGAGTAAGATGAGAGAAAGGCCAAGGTCTGGCTTAGCAGAGGCCAGAGAGGTCTACGGGGCTGCAGTGAGTGGCAGAGAACATGTGACAGATGGTTTTGCACTGGAGTCAGGGGAATCTGTGGGTTGATTGTGCCAGGCTGCAAGTACGCACTGTGTGTGTGTGTGTGTGAGAGAGAGAGAGAGAGAGAGAGAGAGAGAGAGAGAGAGAGAGAGCACGCATGAAAAAGAACAATCAAATAAATCTTGGAGACTAAGCACTGCATATAACAGTAAGATACAACCCACAAATGATGCTCCACAAGGGAATAAGCATGATTGGGAAGGAGGCTCCACCGAGGGTACCAGGAGGTGCAGTGGCCCCACATCAAGCCCAGAGAAAGAAGCATGTCTGCAGGGTGTGTGGCGAAGCCCTGCAAGCTTCCCTCTTTAAGTACAGGTCAGCAACCAGGGCCCCGTGATCCTCTGTGTGCCCGAGCTAAGCCCCACAGCGTGGGAGATCAATCCCACGTGTGTCCTGAAGGCACGGGCCACATAAAGCGTTAGAAACCATTTACTTGATTATGTCCCAGAACAAAAAGTCCCAAGGGCAGCAGAGATACAAGACAGAATTCTGCTCTCAAACACGGGCACAATGGATCTGTGACAGATGCTAAGTGGCAAGTCCAGGGGAGCAGGTTTATGAATGCTAACCCAGAGGTGGCAGGAGGCTGTGTGCTGAGGCTCGCTCTTACCAAGAACAGGAAGTGGGGAGGCTGCTCCTTGACTTTCCCACATTCAGGGAGGGGAACCCCTACTTGATTCATTTGGGTAAGAACTGGGCAGTCTGGTCCAGAGAGGCAGTACAGTGGACGGTACATCCTTGCAAATGGCTCACCTAGATTCAATCCCCAGCACGCCACATGGTCCCCTAAGTACCATCAGGAGTGATCCCTAAGTGCAGTGCTGGGAGTAAGCCCTGGGGATATCTCTGTGTGTCCCCAAAACAAAACAAAAAAATTCTGGCTTGCTCTTCAAAACCTTTATGAACATGTATCTCGCAAGCTTGTCTCTTTTCTTTTTAAATTGTATCATTGTGAATTACAAAGTCACAAAGTTACTTATGCTTGAGTTTCAGTTCTCTTCAGCGCTTTCCTCATAATCTTTCTAAGCAAGTCTGGTTCAATAGAAACTACCTTGCTTTACTGAAAAGAATGGGGGGGAGGGGAGAGGGACACATGTGATTCCAAGGAGGAATTCCACCAAGTGAGATGACTCAAAGGTGGAAGCATTATACTTTGCACCCAGAAGCCCAGCTGCGGTCTCCAGGACCACTTGGGTCCTCACTCCCCAGAACTTCTGGATAATCTCCATTCTCCCCCTTCCAAACCTAGTCACAATATAACCAACCTACTAAGGAGCAAATATAAAGAGAAAATCTTAGCAGCAGCTAAAGGGGAAAGCAGTATACAAGAACAAGTGTGACCTCTCCCAGACTCGGCATTAGAGTCACTAGGCAAGAGTAAGATCCTTAAAGGACCGGAAGAACAGGAAAAAGACGTGTCAATTTACAAATCTATAGCCAGCAAATTCACTTGCCAATAACAGGTAAGTGTAAAAAAACAGACAAGATAATTCACAACTTGGGGCCAGAGAAATAGTACTGGGGTAAAGTACTTGCTGTGCACTCAGCTTACCAGGGTTTGATTCCTGGCACTGCACACATACAGGTAACGGTCCCCTGAGCAGTCCCAGTAGTGATCCCTGAGAGCAGAGTTAAGGAGTAGAGCTGAGCATAGTTGGTGTGTCCCCCAAACAAGACAATATGGTAAATTTTAGACCAGTCACTCAACATCCCCATTTTTCATTTCTTCCTTTTCCCATTTCTTTTAAAAATTTGGGGTCCTTGGATGATTACTCCATAACTTAAGAGGCCAGCCGGGTATCCTAGAGGAAAGGGCAGTTCAGATAGAGAAGGGAGCACCAAATAAAGGATGTTTGGAGGATCCTCCCAGGAGGGGAGATGCATGTCGAAAGTAGACTATGGACTGAACATGTTTGCCACTCAATGCCTCTTTTGCAGACCACAACACCCAAACGGAGAGAGAGAACACAGGGGATTGCCCTGCCACAGAGGCGGGGGGGATGGGGGGATGGGGGTGGGAGGGATATTATCCATGGTGGTGAAAAACGGGCACTGGTGGAGGGATGGGTATCTGATCATTGTATAATTGAAACCCAAGCACAAAAAATTGTAAATCTACAACTGTAAAAAAAAAAAAAAAAAAAAAAGCTAAAATTAAAAAAAAAAAATTTGGGGTCCTTGGGGACGGAACGATAGCACAGCAGGTAGGGCATTTGCCTTGCACACGGCTGACCCAGGTTCGATTCCCAGCATCCCATATGGTCCCCTGAGTACTGCTAGGAGTGGTTCCTGAGTGCAAAGCCAGGAGTAACCCCTGTGTACTGCCGGGTGTGACGCAAAAAGAAAAAAAAATTGGGGGTCCAACACAATGATGCTTTGTGTCTCAGGGGTTGCTCCTGGCAGTGCCTGGGGGAGAGCGATGATGCAGTACTAGGATTGACCTCCCTGCATGCAGAGCATCCTTCCTACACCATTGAGCTGTCTCCCCAGATGAACAATAGCTTTTCCTTTTTGTTTTTGGCTGCACAAGGGGATGACCAGAGCTTACTCCTGGCTCTGTGCTAAGGGGACCATATGTGGTATTAGGAATTGCACTGTGGTCATCAGGATGCCAGGCAGGTGCCTTATCTCCGTAGACCCAAGGATGAACTTTTTTCCCTTTTTTGTTTTTGTTACACTAGGCAGTGCTCAGGAATCACTCCTGGAGGGCTTGGGGGACCATCTAGAGTGCTGGGGATACAACCCAGGCTGGCCATGTGCAAGGCAAGCACCCTACCCTTGTACTGTTTCTCTAGCCCTGAGACCCATTTCCTAGTTGAGTCGTTCGTTTATTATCTACTTCAGGGAACATTATGCTTCACTTATAGGACAGAGCTGGATACTTGGCAAACACTTCCCTCCCCACCAGCACTGCTGGCATACTCCTGAGGCCCACAAGCACTGCTGAGCAGCACCCTACTGCTGGTCCAAGCACTAAATTCTCAATCAAGTGCCACTGGGAGTGACACCTGTGGCCGAGGCACTGCTTGAGAAGTCTCCAAAAAATGAGTTAAAAAAAAACAAACCCTGAAGTAAAAAAAAGATAGGCAGTAAGAAAAATGTTAAATGTGAAACCTAAAGCAAAGAACTCAAATTTATATCCCCACTCACAATAATCTAAATGGTAACAGTAGTCCTTGATTACTGTGAAAATAAAAATTAAATGAGACTGTTAAAAGAAAGATATAGCAAATAGGTTAATAAATGGATGCTACTGTCATTGTAAGGTGAGGATATGAATCTTCCCTGGCTCATTCAAGTAGTATTATTTACACTAGTTTCCAATATGGAATAGTGGAAGATTGGGCTGTGAGCCAATCCAACATTTTAGGTGAATACTCAATGTTTCTAATATATCAAAGAACTAGTAATATTTGGCCTCAAAAATACATTATTTATGGGGCTGGAGCGATAGCACAGCGGGTAGGGCGTTTGCCTTGCACACAGCCAACCCGGATTCGATTCCCAGCATCCTCAAGCACTGCCAGGAGTAATTCCTGAGTGCAGAGCCAGAAGTAATCCCCATGCATCGCCGGGTGTGAACCAAAAAAAGTAAACAAAACAAAACAAAGATAGTACTTATAATCCAAAGAGAATAGAACTTACTAAGAATAACTTACTAAGAATAATGAAGAAAAAGAAAAACTAACTAGACCTGTTGTAATGAGCCTAAATCAGTAATCTAAAGCCTTATAACATAGAAAAGTCTTCAATGGTGAATTCTACTAAGCACTTCAAGAAAAATTATGTCAGGGAGTATTTTCAGCAGTAGAGCACAAGGATTCAAATCCTGGCACAGAAAAAAGAAAAAGTATCACTTAAATTACTGCAAAATCCTTAACAAAATTATTGATTTAAATTAATAAGCATTAATTTTTAATTTAGGTGCTCATAATGACCAAGTGATAGTTTAATTCATGGAAAACAAGGATAATTCAACATAAAACTAGTCAATGTGATACACCACATTAAAAAAAATGAAAGAGAAAAACATATAATCTCATTGATGCAGAAAAAGGAATGTGGTACAATTCTTAATGTTTCAAGTAATTTTTTTTTTTTTGCTTTTTGGGTCACACCCAGCGATGCACAGGGGTTACTCCTGGTTCATGCACTCAGGAATTACTCCTGGTGGTGCTCGGAGGACCATATGGGATGCTGGGAATCGAACCTGGGTCGGCCACGTGCAAGGCAAATGCCCTACCTGCTGTGCTACTGCTCCAGCCCCAAGTAGAGTAATATTTTGCCTCAAAAATATGTATTTATGGGGGTGGAGTGATAGCACAGCAGTAGGGCACTTACCTTCCACGCAGCCAGCCTGGCTGAGCCGGGTTCAATTCTTCCACCCCTCTCGGAGAGCCCGGCAAGCTACCGAGAGTATCTCGCCCGCAGGGCAAAGCCTGGCAAACTCCCCATGACGTATTCAATATGCCAAACACAGTAACAACAAGTCTCACAATGGAGATGTTACTGGGCCCGCTCGAGCAAATCGATGAACAACAGGAGGACAGTGCTACAGCGCTATAGGACAGAGCATACCACATTTATTTGTTTTTCTGGCTCATTTACTTCTGTAAATTTATAAACCTTAGTTTTTGTTTGGGAGAAGGGGGCTTGGAGAGGGAGGTGTGTAGTCCACACCCAGCTGTTTTCAGGGCTTACCCCTGGTGATGTTTGGGAAATTATATGGGGTATAATGAAATAAACAGAATAAACACCTTAACCCCTGTATTATCCCTTGGCCCCTGATTTAATAATCTGGTCTTAAAATGCCATTATCTGGGTCATGTTTGGTCAATTTCACTTAGCTGGAGTTTTTTAATTATGATTTTTGTGCTTCTATATCATCTGTTTTGCAGGGATAGGGTGGTAGTGGTGGGTCACAGCTGATGTTGCTCAGGGCTTACTCCTGGCTCTATGCTCAGGGGAGTGTATGCAGTGGTGGGGAGAACCAGGGTTGGCTTCATGCAAGGCCAGCAAATTACCTCCTGTACTATCTCTGGCCCCAATAGTTAAAGTTTTTAAAGTTATTTTTAAGTTTAAAGTTACTTTTTATTTGACTTTAACCATGTCTGTGCTGAGTATTTTCCTATTTTTATAAATCCTCTTGAACTCTTCTACAATAAAATGTGGTTAAGCAAGTTAACAATATTATGGTCTTGGCCTTTCAACTTTGTCAGGCCAGATCAGAGCAGGATTAAAGGCTATTTTCCTACTACTGAGGCAGGATTCTTTTCAGTATTCCCAGCCAAGCATGAGCACCAATATTCTAGTCACAAATCATCACCAATGTAGCAGGTTAAAATAATCTTTCACTTATTAGTTTATTGTTCTGTGAGTCAGAATTCTATGACATGTTGGGTTCTCTGCTCAGGGTATCACAAGGCTGAAATAAAGCATCAGTTAGTAGTAATTCTTGTGTGAGGGCTTGGATAAAATCCACTTTTATGCTAGTTATTACAAACTTAACCTCCTCATAGCTGCAGAAGCAAATAAATGTCTAACTGTGGAATATTGGCAAAAGCCACTCTCACCTTCTTTATATTCAATTAGATGTGCACTGCGTTTTAGGGCTTCAACATAAGCCCAGATGGTAGGGGCAGGGATGGAGGGGCACAAATTCAGTCAGTAAGAACCACTGACTTTGTTGTTTTGTGGGCCACGTGGCTATGCTCAGGGAATCCTGTGGGACAGAGGTTTAAGCCTGGGCCTCCTGGCCTATGTGCTCCAGCCCAGTAAGTGGTCTCTCCAGTCCACGAGGGTCACCTAAAATTCTGGCATTTCAGGGACTGTTCCCTGTAACTTCCTTTAGGCAACTCTTTATTGGCCTTAGACTATTTCAGTGCATGCTATTTAGAAAAACAGAATTGCTGGGATTCTGCAGATCTCCAGAATTCTTCGTCAAACAGAATTCTACTGGTTCCTCTGATAAGGGTCTTCCAACTGCCTTGGTCTCCCTGGACTCCCAATTCATCCCCTCAAGAGAGACCAGGTGTCTGTCAGGGGTGGCACCCTCCTGGCACATGACCTGTCCATGCCACGAGTCGAGGCTGCTGGAGGCCTTGGCTTATGCTTTCTCTCTTGGGTCACTTTCTGGTCACTCAGCACTCACTGCTGAGTCCCGCTGAGACGGAGGCCCTGCCCCAGAGAGCTGGGATTGGATCTATCTTTCCAAGTTCTCAGGTGTTCCAAGTGGGAGGGCAACTCAGGTCCCTGCTCCACTCCATCTTGATGGGAACTTAACACTCCTGACCCTCCCCCTTTTTTCCTTAGAAGTTTGCCTAGCTAGAGACTGAAGTGATCATACAGCAGGTAAGGCACTTGCCTCGCCTGGGTTCAAAGTCCAGCATCTCATTTAGTTCCCTGAGACCACCAGGAATGATCCCCAAGTGCAGAGCCAGGAGTAAGTTCTGAGCACCGCCAGGTGTGGCCCAAAAATAAAAATAAAAAAGCTCATATATTGGGGCTGGAGCAATAGCACAGCGGGTAGGGTGTCTGCCTTGCACGCGGCCCACCCGGGTTAAATTCCCAGCATCCCATATGGTCCCTTGAGCACCGCCAGGGGTGATTCCTGAGTGCAGAGCCAGGAGTAACCCCTGCGCATTGCCAGATGTGACCCAAAAAGCAAAAAAAAGAGCTCATATATCTAAAGAATAATTGGGCATGCTTCTGACATTTCTATTATGGATTTGAGAATTTTATAACTTTGAAACAATTTCCCAATTATTTTCATTGTAACATACTGCAATAATGCTAAAATATTAAATATAAAACAGCTTAGGCCAGAGTGGTAGTACACAGGGTGATCCAGGTTTGATCCCTGGCATCCCAAGCACCTCCAGGAGTAATTTCTGAGCACAGAGTCAGGAGTAATCCCTGAACATCGCTGGGTGTGACCCCAAAAAGCAAAAATAAATAAATAAAACAAAATAGCTTATTTCATATCTCTTCTGATGGGTTTCTGAATTGCAATATTTTTCTATCATGAAACATACTCCTGTGCAGATGACTGTATAGTTTACGTGGCCCACTCACAAATACCCTGACCTTTTACACACAAGACTGGGAATGATGAGCACAGTTCTAAATTCTTTTTTTTTTTTTTTTGCCACCTCCAGCTGCTTAGGGCTTATTCTTGGCAGGCTCAGAGAACCATACGGGGTGCTGGAAATTGAGTCCTACTCTGTACACTGTCACTCTAGCCTCACAGAGTTTTAAATCTCAGTTACAGTGAAAAATGTCAAGCATTTCTAAACAACCACACATTTACACCTCCATAACTTGTTTATCTTTGCCCAGATTTCAGCATCAGGCCTTCTCACTGCTGCACATGTAATATGTGCAACATATATAATATGTTGTAATTTATATCTCACACGTAATATGGTGCCTCCAGCGTTTTCAGGCTCCTTATTTACCAGAGACTGATGAAGCAGAGAATGCTTTCATGCTCGTGAGTTTAGGTTTTCCTCTTCTATCGGTAACTTGTTCAAGTTTTGTGACCACTTTTCTACATCTCTTTTTATGTTTTTCATATCTATTTACTATATGGAACATATTGATAAACAGAAATTGTATACAATAGGTTCTTCACTAAAAAATCTCATTTCAGGGGCCAGAGCGATAGCACAGTAAGGCACCTGCCAATGCATGCAGCCGACCCCAGTTCAATGCCCGGTACCCCACAGGGTTCCCTGAGCACCACTAGAAGTGATTCCTGCATGCAGAATCAGGAGCAAGCCCTGAGTACTGCTGAGTGTGGGGTGGAATCTGATTTCACTGTCAGGGATTGAATATGAATTGTGTACATATCATTTTGGAAGTTTTACTATGGGTCAGGAGATGCATTCCACAGTAGTACCTACCTTGAATGTGAAGAGCCCTAGGTTCAATACCCAGCACCATACACATAAATACACATACACTGCTACATATTATTAAAATAGTGAACAAGTCTTAGCTCCTTTTATTAAAGGTCCCATAATCATAAAAGAAAGTCAGCCAAATAACTTACTCATTTGCACTGGAAGGTGTCATTTCCATTTGAAGTTTCTTGAATAGAAACTTCTGGCCTTAAGCCAAATGAACACGATAACCATATATATATATTTTATATACGTATTTTTTGGAGGGGCAGGAGATTCTCCTAAGCAGTACTCAGGAAACCCAGGGCCCTTCCCAGGGCCCTTCCCAGTGTTTCCTCACAGTAGTTCACTGTGAGACTCACAGATGAGGTGACAGGATGACAACTTGATGACCTATGATCTAAAAGCAATACACGATCATCATACAGACAAGATGCTGTGGTCCACTGCAGTGGAGGGGCCTGGGGGGACTGCCCTGGATTCAAAAGATCCATGAGTCAGGGATGTGGCTCAGCACCAGAGACTCTGCCTGAATGTGTGAGGCCTTGAGTTCGATTCCTAGCACTGCTCCCCATTGGCAAGTGTGAGCACCTCAAGTGTATGCGACCCAGAAACCACAAACAAGCCTGTGCGACTCTCAGCACTGAAGCAGCAACAACACACACAAGCAAACTTACTCCATGGATGGGATGGACTGTCCTGCTGCACAGAAGCTGTCAAGTGGTCATTTTTGAAATCATCTGCAAGAGGAACAGAGGATTGAGGTGACAACAAAACACGGAATAGGGCTGGAGAGAGCTCAAGCAGAGCATATGCTTTGCATGCAGGGGGCCCAGCTTTGACCCCTGGTACTGCATGGTCCCCTGACCACCAGCACAGAGTTAGAAAAAGCCCCATAGCACCAGCAGGTATATTACTCCCTACCCACCCTTCCCACCTAAAATAAAAAAAAAAAATACAGCAGAGCAGGGACTGGGGAGAGACTTCAAGACTGGTATACATGCTTTGCATGAAAGCCTCAGGTTGGATCGCCAATACCACATGGTCCCCCTAAGCACTGCTGGTGTAGCCACAAAACAGAGACAGGAGGAGGGCAGAGCTGGGCAGACACATACATAAATCAGTTGTGAGGAGTTGTGGGGATAAGGCCAGACTGCACAGCCCTTTGCTTATCCTATGATGCCCTCTGTACTGTCCAGACTGGCAGGCAGTTCCTGCTCTGACTGTTATGCAAGGGGGAAAAGTGACCAGAGACTTTTGTATAAAAACTTGTCATCTCTTGTCATCTCCAACCTAAAATCTTTGAGAATCCCACAACTACTTTGACAAACTCATCTCTCACAGGCGAGAGCACAATTCCAGGTCTGGTGTGGAGCTGCAGCTGCACGTTCGCTAGTCTTCTGCAGCTGTAATCAGTAAGAATTTAAAGTTCCAGGCAGGATTTCTACAGCATGATGCTGTCTTTTTCCATAATCACTAGAAAACTGAGTTCCTGATACTAATGTTCTTCTGATCATGCAGGCCAGGTAGGGAGAGACAGTTTTCAACACCTCTGCCTATCTACAAAGGCCCTAGAAACCAGGTGGCCAGTGCTACATCTGGACTGAAGGTAGTTCCTGCCTCCATCCTCCTCCTCACACATTCTGAGGGGGTCTTGTCCTGCTATCCTGTGGGGTGGGCTGAGATTCTCCCAAAATGCAAATGTCAACTTGCTGCATCAGGATTCTGAACACTGCCTTAGGGTTGGATATGCCTGTTGTCCCTGGCTAAAAAATGTTTGCTTTTGCTTTTAGTCTATGGGGTGCTCTGTGCTTGAAGGTCATTCCCAGCAGTACCCAGGGGACATATGGTTCCAGGGATCGGATCTGTGGCTCCTGCATGCAAAGCTTGTACTCCAGCTAATTGGGCTAGCTTTGCTGGGCCACCTTTTTTCCCTCTTTTTGGTTTTTGGGCCACACCTGGCAATGTTCAGAGGTTGCTCGTGGCTTTGCACTCAGGGAGTACTCCTGGCAATGTTCGGGGGACCATATGGGATGCCGGGGATGGAATCTGGACTGGTCACATGCAAGGCAATCATCCTACAGCTGTATCATGTATGGCTCCTGCCCCTCTTTTTTCGTTTCTTTTTTGGTAATACTCCCACTAGGCTTAGGGCTAACTCATTTCTGTATGTAAGGATCACTCCTCAAAGGCCTTTGGAGGACCAGAGCAGTTCTGGGAATCAAATCCATGTCAGCTGCCTGTCAGCAAGTGATATACATTCTCCACTCCCCTGCCCACTTTTCCCTTTTTCTTTAAATAATTTTTTGCTTGCGAGTCACTCCTGGCAGTATTCAGAGGGCAGTGCAGAGCCAGAGATCAAACATGGAGGTTCCTGTGCAGAGTATGTACCCCAGACGACTGAGACTTATCTATATTTTTGCTTTGTTTCATTTCTTTGTTTTGTTTCAGTTTTTGGTCAACACCCTGTGGTGCTCAAGGGCTATCCTGGTTGTGCTCTGAGGATCATATGCAGTACAGGGACTCAAACTAGGAGAGCCACATTGCAAGCTAAGTGCCTTATCTGCCTCCTATACAATCCCTCTGTGTTGGATATTAACTCCAAGTGTTTTAAGCTTCCCCAGTGAACTGCCCCTTTCCCACATCTCAGAAACTCATCATGTTCTTGCTAGCATCCCTAATTTAGTTAATCTCTGACCTTTCCTTTGTGCTTTACCTCTCATTGTCACAGTTCCCCAACTCAGTCTTGATTACTTATTTGAAGTACTGTGTATTTGTACCTGCTTTTCTCGTTTCCCTATAATCTTTTTATATTTTATTATAGAACAGTATTCTTTGGTTAAACACAGAAAGACCATTAATGCTGTGCTCCTAATATTTGGGAGTCGACTGACTCTGAAATATATCTCTTCCTGGGCATAATTACTTGGTCATACTTACTGACTCAGACTTCAGTTGCCATAGTTCCTAACACCCCAAAATGGAGGTCCTGCCGTGAGACTGGGATGGACCTGGGGCGAGTGCCAAAGCTACCCTGGCATTGAAATGGGAAGCAAAAATGTATGGTCTTCATGCAAGCTGTTATGATTTAAGAGACAGGACTCTCATGGGGAAGGAAAAGCGGAACTGGCCTCAGGACTTAGTCTGGGATTTATGGTAAAAGCCTTGCTTGCTCTCTGAGCCCAGAGAACTTAGTGTTGGGATCTTTGTCTCTTACTATGTTTATCCAAACAACTGCAAGTATTGCAACTTATACAACTAAGGGGAAAGATAAAGGCAATACAGATGTCCCTGGGAGACAGAATGTTTCCTTGCTTTAATCTCCCCAAAAGGGAATTTCCTACATTTTATCTATGTAAAATCTATGTACATTTCCAAATGTCTTACCTATGTAAATGATCAATCACACCTATGTCCTTACCTCAACCCCCCTTTAGATGTTCTATAAGTATGCTAGCAGCTCTGCATTAAATGGGCCATTTTCACCACCTGGCTGCAGTCCCCCGTCTCTCTGTCTCTCCGCCTCTCTGCTGAGCAGGTCAGGCCGTGGTGGGGAAGCGGCTCTGGGCCACCAAACACACTCGCATCGCAGCAGCCCCTCATCTTATCTTGTGAACTCAGACCTCTGGCCCATGACTTTCTTTTTTATAATTTTCTCCATGATGATCTTATAAAACTTTGTTAATTACCAAATACTTTACATCTCTGATGCTATTGTAAATGTTCTTTTTAAAAACTGCACATTTGGGGCCGGAGTGATAGTATAGCAGGCAGGGCATTTGTCCTGCATGCAGCTGACCTGGGTTTGATCCCCCGCATCCCAAGCTCTGCCAGGAGTAACCTCTGAGCACTGCCAGGTGTGGTTCCAAAATAAAAAATCTTAAAAATAAGTAAAATAGGGGCTGGAGCAATAGCCCAGCGGGTAGGGCGTTTGCCTTGCACGCGGCCGACCTGGGTTCAATTCCCAGCATCCCATATGGTCCCCTGAGCACCGCCAGGGGTAGTTCCTGAGCACAGAGCCAGGAGTAACCCCTGTGCATCGCCGGGTGTGACTCAAAAAAGCAAAAAAAAATAAAAAGGTAAAATAAATAAAAATCACATTTAAGAGGTGGGTGGGAAAGAGGAAAAATAAAAAGCACACATTTAAAAACACATTCCTCCTGGGGGCCAAAGTGATAGTATAGCAGGTAGGGCATTTGTCTTGGATACAGTTGACCCAGGTTCAATCCCTGGCATCCTATATGGTCCCCCAAGCACTGCCAGGAGTGATTTTTGAGCATAGAGCCAGGAATAACTTCTGAACATTGCTGGGTATGGCTCAAAAATCCCCAAAACAAAACAAAACAAAAAAATAACCAGCCCCTTCCACCCCACGTCTCCTTTAAAAAATCTTTCTAAGACGATAGGTGTTTGGGGCCAGAGTGCTAGCACAGCAGGTAAGAGGATCTTGTCTTCCATGCAGCTGACCTGAGTTCAATCCCTGGCATCCCATATGGTCCCCTGAGCCTGCCAGAAGTAATTCCTGAGTGCAGAGCCAGGAGAAAGTCCTGAGCACCTCTGGGTATGACCCAAAAAAGTAAAACATAATCTTTCTGTTTTATACACCTGAAAAATGATATGCTCTAGCTGGGTGATCTGACCCCAATTCTGTCCCTAATCCCAGGCCCCTCCCCCCACTCCCCTCTGCATACCGCCTTTCTATTCCTGCCCGGTTACTCTTCACCCATTAGAGCCTGTCCAACCTGAGGGTTCCTTGACAGGAGGGCCGTGGTGAACCCTCTTCTGTGCCCACCAGTTCCCATGCATCTGGACCACTGTGCCCTCAGAAGAACTGCTTCCTCTCACTCACCTGACTGGCCGCTGCCTGGGTCCCAGCTGTCCTCAGTTCCTGGGCCATCCCGAACCCATGGCTCTTCCCCTCGTTCCAGCTGGGAGATGACATTGGGCTTGGACCCCGGAAGACCTGCTCGGGGGTAGGAAAGCCCTTCAGTTGACACACACCTGCCAGCACTCCCACCCTAGCCTCTGGGATGTGCCCAATGCTTGGCCAAGGGTCCTACCCAGTGACACCACGTTGCCGTAGGTCTCCATCATCACGTGTCGGTAGAGGCCTCGCTGTGCGGGGCCCAGGCGGTCCCACTCCTCCTGGGTGAGGAGCACAGCCACATCATCAAAGGTCACCTTGGCCTGCAAGGACACGGGCTGCAGATGGGACATGGTGTCCACAGTGAGGAGTAGGTACAGGGATGCTCTGGGAGCAGGACGGGGCGCCAGTCCAGGGGCGGGAGGGACATTCAGGTTACACCTGGAAGCCCAGTACAGAGGACTGAATAGGTTTCAGGGGCAGCTCACCTGGGGCCCCGCTGAGAGAGGCAGGAGTCTGACCGCTGCCATGGCTGAGTTGCTGAGGGAATCGGAGGAACCTGTGGGCCAAGAGAATGAGGAGATGATGAGGGGACTGACCTTTCCCTTCAGGTTTTGGGGGTGTCTCTGAGCCCCATCGGCTTGATGCTGCAGTTCAGGGGTCATACCAAGTGCTCTCATTCTCTGGGCGCACTCTGGAGCAGCTGGTCTGGTCCTCAGGGACACTTGGCCAGACCCCTGCCTGCGTAATCAGTGAGGTAAGGATCCTGCACCCGGCCCAGGAGACTGAGCACTCATGGGAGCCACACCATCACCTCGCAGGAGGAGGCTGTCCACCTGCTTGCAGAACCCTGCTGCCCAGAACCAGTACCAGAATCCTGGCTTGGACACACCAAGATACAACCGGGGGTTGTGGGGCTGTGTCCAGACCCACCCACCAACTGGGGTTGAGCAGCTGCCATAGAGACTTGGAGAGAGGGTCAATGGCACACATCAGGACCAGTTAAGATGCCTGTCACCTTCAAATTTCTGGAAATAAAAGGTGGAGCCCTGACTCCTGAGATGCTTGGTCCTACAGTGAACAGCACTGGACTGGGGCGCACAGCCAGCAGGCAGGGAACACCTATAGTCCGTTTTCTTTATGAAAGAAGATGTGTTTGTGTGTCTGCCCTGCTACTGTGGAACTCCCAGCCTGCACTGCCCCTCCACCTCCACCACACAAGGCCTGCTTCCCTCCAGATTTGTGTCTGTTTCTTTGTACGTACAAGGAAACTAATTAGAAAAGCAACACAAGGGGCTGGAGTGATAGCACAGCGGGTAGGGGGTTTGCCTTCCACCCGGCCAACTCAGGTTCGATTCCCAGCATCCTATATGGTCCCCCGAGCACCGCCAGGAGTAATTCCTGAGTGCAGTGCTGGGTATGACCCAAAAAGCAACACAAGTATTTTAAAGGAGGGAGGAGGGAATAAGCTACCACCAAGTTAAGATGACTAATATAAACTAATATAAACTTTATTTGTATTAGACAAGAAAGGAATCCTAACAATAGCAAAAAATCTGGAGAACAGACAAGAAAAAAACCGGAAGAATAGTCTTCTATGGCAGACCTTGCAGTCAGTGGGAGGATCAGTAGCTACCATGTTGTCTGCTCAGGCCTCCTTGGGAGATGTAGGCCCAAGGACAGTGCCACAGCCAATCCCAGCACACACAGGTCACGCACCCACAAGATCAGACTTAGGTTGTGTTGGTGGCAGCAGCAGCCTGAGCTACAGAGCACATCACAGCACTCTGACTCTGTAAAGAATGACCCAGGCCACCAAGAGTGTGTGTATACTTTGGCTCCACCTTTAAGACAAGGTCTTCTGAGGTATCAGGGCAATGGCCAGAATAGTGAAGACAGCACTAGGAGTTGCCTGGCACAGAACCAGATGCTGTATACTGTGCTCTACTTCAGTCATGGTAAGCCAAATGCCAGGCTATCCACACCACACAAGCCTAAATAAAGCACACAGGGTGTGGAGTGGGGGAAGAGGAAAAGATTTCCACCTGGGATATCTAGGAAGGCATATAAAAGCAAAATATTAGAAGCCAGAGAGATAGTACAGTAGGCAGGGTGCTTGCGTTGCATGCGATCGACCTGGGTTCAATCCCCAGCACCCCGGATAGTCCCTGAGCATCACCAGCAGGAAGCCCTCAACATAGCTGGGTATCCCCCAGCTCCCCAAAAATGTGGGATTATCGAAGATATTCTTTTCTTATTGCCCGTGAAAAGGCCTGTCACAGGGCAGAGAGGACTCAAGGACTAGTGTATATGTCACTGGAGGCCCAGGGTTCCATGCCTCCAGCAACGGCGCCAATACTGGGGACAGCCCCTGAGGACTGCTGGTGTGTCCCTAAAATAAAAGAAAAAATAAAGTCCATCAGAGAGTGTATCTGTTGCTATGGTTTTAATGTTTGTATGTCTTCAAATACTATGCGGAAATCCTAACACCTGATGTGATAGTCTTGGAAGGTATTCAGGTCAAAAGGGGATTTCTGGGATCTCAGTCACCAGGTGACTCACAGTAGAAGTCCCCGACCCAGAGAAAGGAACCGGGACTGTGTGATACCGTGGTCTCAAACAGGCAGGCTTCACAGCTATGAGAAATAAATTCCTATTGTTTATAGCTACCCAGCCTGTGGTGGGTGGTACTGTATATACAGACTAAGACTATTCTGATAAAACTGGACCAAGTGACATTGGCTTTCTATTTTTCTCTACTTGGCTTTGTAAGTAGTATATGGATCCTCTGGAACACAATTTTTATGACCAGCTGCAAAGATATGCTAAACACCTAAGCCTCCTGGGGAAATCACTGAATGGGTGTGTGTGTGGGGGGGGGGGATCTGAGGAGCTTCCTGGGGTGCTTTGCTGTCCTCCACAACAGAGAACCAGGTACCAATGACACCCTCTCTTGAGGGTCCCACAAAGACCCACCCACCAACTGGTCACATCATTCTTCAGACTCAGGAAGTTTGTTTCTAGGAAATACTCAAAGCCCCAGAGGTCGATGTTCTCAGAAGCAGTGGTCACTGAAAGAAAACAGGAAGAAAGCCACACGGCAGTAACCATACCAACTGAGGTCTGGTTCATAATCACAGCCCCAAGACAAGAACTGAGAAAGGGAGTACAGAGTCACAAGGAACTTAGAATTTAAGTAATTACTGTTTCATGAGCTGAGATGTTTTTTTTCCCTTTGAGGGGGGTGGTATGGGTCATTTCTGACAGTGTTCAGGGGGCTCTGTGCTTAGAGGAGTGACCGTTGGAAGTGCTTAAGGGACCATATGAGGTACACAGAATGGATGTGGGGTTGCCGTATCATAATAAGAGAAAGAGTACTGCTCTCCTCTCCCTCCTTTCTTGAGCTTAGCTTAAGGAAAGCATCACTCTGGGAACTCCTGATGATCTCTGATGGCCTAACCTAGGTGACAGGCACACTGACAGGTCTGGGGTATGACAAGCTATCAAGACTCCCTTTTTCTCCAAGTTTTCCAGTTGAAATGCCCTGCCCCTTCTTTAGGATACAAATATCTTCAAAAGCAGCAGTTCTCTTTTGAGGCAGATCTTTAGGTGTATGATCAGTTAATCTCCGATAAAGTAACAAAAATTACAAAATGGAGCAAGGAAAGCCTCTTTTACAAGTGGTGTTGGTAAAACTGACCACCTATTAGGAAAAAAAAAAAATGAACTCAGACCTCTTTCTAGTACCACGCACAAAAGTCAAATCAAAATGAATTAAAGACCTTGCTATGAGACCTGAATCCATAAACTACAAGGAAAATGTAGGCAGAACTCTCCATGACATTGAAACTGAAGGCATCTTCAAGGATGAAACACCACTGACCAAGTAAGTGGAAGCAACAATAAACAAATGGGACTACTAAACTCCGAAGCTTCTGCACCTCAAAGGAAATGATGACCAGAATACAAAAACAGCTCACGGAATGGGAAAAATTATTTACCCAACACTCACATGACGAAGTAGTAATATCCAAGATGTATAAGGCACTGGTAGAACGTTACAAGAAAAAAAATATACAACCCCATCAAAATATGGGGAGATGAACAGAAATCTTCTCAAAGAAGAAATAGAAATAGCCAAAAGGCACATTAAAAAATGCTCTAAATCACTAGTCATCAGGGAGATGCAAACCAAAACAACAATAAGATATATTATCTCATGCTACAGAAACTGGCACACGTCCAAAAGAACAAAAACATGGGTTGCAGCAATAGAACAGTGTGTAGGTGCTTGCCTACACATAGACGACCCGGTTTTGATCACCAACATTTATTATGGTCCCCCCAGCAATGCCAGGAGTGATCCCTGAGTGCAGAGCCAGGAGTAAACTGTGAGCTCTACTGGGTGTGGCCCCAAAACCAAAACAAAACAAGAACATCCAGTGCTGGCACAGATGCAGGGAGAAAGGGACTCTCATTCACTGCTAATGGGAATGCCAACTGATCCAGCCTTTTTGGAAAAACAATATGGGTATTTCTTAAAACACAAGAAACTGAGCTTCCATATAACCCATATACTGTTCTGGGAATATGCCCCAGGGGCCTAGAAACACAGTACAGAAAAGCCATCTGCACCCCTACTTTACTGCAGCACTATTCACAATGGCCAGAATCTGGAAACAAGTGCTGGAGAACCGATGAGTGGAGGAAGAAACTATGGTGCAGCTACACAATGGTACTAGGCTGTGGTTAGGAAAAACACAATCATGATCATCCGGTTGTTCCTCGATTGCCTCGAGCAGGCACCAGTAACATCTCCTTCTTCCAAGTCCTGAGATTTTAAAAGAGCCATATTCAATGCTCTTTCAGGGTTAGGAGAATGAGACCCATAGGAAAAACAAAGTCATGAAATTTGCTCATACCCTCGATGGACATGGAGAGTATCGTAAGTGAAAAGAGCCAGAGCAAGAGGAACATAGAATGATCCATATTCATTTGCAGGATATAAAAAACATAGTATGAGAATAATACCCAAAGAGAAGAAACGAGAGCCAGGAAGTATGGTCCAAGGTAGGAAACTTGCCAGAAAGGGGAGTTGGGAGGGAGTGCAGTTAGGACCACTACGACAATGGTAGCTGGAAATGATCAATGGACAAAACTGGGTGCTGAGAAGAGATAATGGGATATGTATGACACACTTTTAGTAATAGTATTGCAAACCACAGCATCTAAAAGAAAAAATAAAGAGAAGAAAAAAACTGCATAGAGAGAAGAAGGCTGGGGTGGGGTCAGGAAGGAAACTGGGGACACTTGAGGATGGGAAATGCACATGGTAAAGAGATGGGTGCTGAAAAATTATATGGCTGAAATTCAACTATGAACAACTTTGTAGCTGTGTAACTCACAGTTTTTTAAATTATTTATTTATTTATTTTTAAAGTCAGCTTGATGTGAGATTTTATTTATTTATTGCTTTTTGGGTCACACCTGGCGATGCACAGGGGTTACTCCTGGCTCTGCACTCAGGAATCACTCCTAGTGGTGCTGGGGGACCATATGGGATGCTGGGAATCGAACCTGGATGGGCCGCGTGCAAGGCAAATGCCCTACCCGCTGTGATATCACTCCGGCCCCCACTCACAGTATTTTTAAAAAGCAGTTCTCAGGGCCAGAGAGAAAGTACAGTGGGTAAGAAGCTTGCAACACCCAGGTTTCATACCCATCAGCCTGTATGTCCTCAGTGAAGAGACAGGCTGTCTCCACTAACCCCCCCAAAACAGATAAAGACAAGAGTGAAAATAAAACTAGACCTAATACTAGACCTAATAACAACCCCCCTCCCCCAATAGAGCAAAGGCAGAGATAAAAATAGTACCGGAAAACATTAGGTCATCTTATATACCTAGGCCAGTCAATAGGTAATGAGACTTAAAGAGTTAAAATTTTGGCTTTTTCCACTTTGGACACGCCTTCTCTCCCCTTCCCCCCCTCCCATATTTACAAGTAAATTTCTTTAAATAAATTACCTAAAACGTTAACATTTTAAGTTGTAGTTTTACAAAAATGAATAAAAAAACAGGTAAATTTTGTTACTTTAGATGAGATGGGCCGTTTTATCCAAAATTCCAAAGGCACAAAGATCTGCTTTGTGTAAATCAAAACCTTATGCACATCAAAGCAACCACAAATTCCAGAAACAGGCCCCAAAGAATTTAATACATGACAAGGGTGGTTTTTCAAATCAATGAAGTGATGAATTATTCAATAGGAAGCGTTAGAAACAGCCTTATGGGGGGGGGAGGGAGAAAGGGAGCCGCAACAAAAACTCGATTCCCAATTCACCCCACATCAAAATAAATTCCAGATGGACCTAACATTTTACAAGAACCAAAGGTTTTTTGTATTTCTTTTTTAACTTAAAAGACCGTTTATTAAAAAAAAAAAAATCTCGAGGAGGGAAAACCTCCTCGATACTGCGCAAAGCCTAAAAGCGTTCAGGAGAATATTTGACCATCAAAACTCGAAATTTTCGATCTCAGCACAAGCCAAGTTACAGATCAACCCACTCCAAATAGGGCAAAACACCGTCACCCGAGTCTAGCGACCATCTGGGGAGACCATTTCCTTCTCGGTGGAAAAGAATAGGCGCTGAGAGAACACAAAGGACACACAAAGGCTCTAACGCAGTTAGAATTCCAGTCTCAGGATAGCGGGGCGCAAGCTCGGCGCGGAGTCGGAGCGCCCCCACCCCGGCCCCGCGCCCCCCCGAGGCCCCGCGCCCCGAGAGCAGAGGCACGAAGAGGCCGACGCGGGACCCCCGCTCCCGTGCACAGGCGAGTTTCACTTGGCCCGCAAGGAGACAATCACCGCGGCGGCGGCCGAGGACCGAGCAGCAGCCAGGGCGGGCAGGAAAGTGCGAGCCCGGTGTGGGGTCTCATTCATTCGCCAAGGGCCGCGCAGGGACACTCACCGCCTTGGGGCTGCCGGCAGCCCGGGGAGACCCGGCGCGAGGCTGGAGCCGGGAGCTGTACCCCGCCTCCCACGGGCAGTTCCTGGGACACCCCGCTCCGCCGCCGCGGGGAAGGGCCCCGGCGCGCCGGGGGACGGGGTGTGGCCACGCAGCAGCGGGAGGCTCACGCAGGGATCAGGCTGCGCAAGGCCCCACCAGGTCCGAGTCGTCGGCTGGAGCCGAGGGGCGCGTACGGCATCACGCACCGGAGGAGGCGGCCCCGCCCGCACTCACCATCCGCGCCGCAGTCTCACGCGTGAAGGGGCGGAGGCACGCAGCGCACTCAGACAAAGGGTCGCCCCGCCCCTCCCGCTCTTCCGCCAATCACCGGCGGCCAGGCCTCCCCCTAGCCCCGCCCCCACGGCGTGGCGCACCAATCCAGTAGCACAACCCCCGCAGTCGGCTCGTCGGCCCCGCCCCTCCCGCCTTGCGCTTTTCTCTTGAGTGACGGCCCAGACGCCGGCGCTAGGGCTACCGAGAACCGGGGAGGCGGCCTCTGCGGCGCCTAGAGAGTCCACGTCCCGCCCCGGCCGCGCACAGGCCTCCAGAGCCCGTGGACTCATCCGATGCGGGCCCTGAACCGGCCCCGTCACGCCGCAGCTCCCAGCGCGACAGTGGCGGCGCCTCGCCGTCCAGGCGTGCGTGGTCGTTGTCCTTCAGAGCCCAAAGCGGTGGCCGCCCTCTCGTCTTCCTTACGGGCGTTTCCGGCTGGGGTGGCGCCGTCGGTGGAGCAGCTCAGGCCTGGGAGGGTCCGGTGGGAAGCAGGCGGCCCTGGAAGTCGGGCCTCGGGGGCAGCAGAGAGGCCGGCCGGCTCGCCCTTGGCCTGCGCTGCACAGCTGCGGGGCCGTGGGGCTGAGGTTAGCAGGGAACGTTCTCGTAACGTACAGCCACAGGTGCTGCACTGGGCGCGGAGCCCTCTGGGGTGCGTGTGGGGCGAGCTCCCTGCTTCCAAGCCATGAGGCTACCTCTTTTTCCTAGCTGGGGGTCACTCCCTTTTTGTGGTGCTTATTCATTACTTGGTTGTGGCGGGGCAGGAGACTGCTTACGGCCGAAAGTACAACAGCGAGAATCGTTATAAGCAGAGGCGTTTGAACTTGTGACCGAGTGCTTTCAAGGACAAGAAGACATTGTGAGCCTCCGTGCAATTGCTGGGCCCCAGAGATTCCCCTCTTAGTAGTTTTCAGGCATATCCCATATTCCTGCATTGCTTCTGCTGTAGGCGGGAAGACTGGGGGGCCCTGGTAATGTACCAGGGAAGGGGCAACAAGTCTCTGAAACTTGAACCAGCCTGAAGGCACAAGCCTTGACATAAAAGACCTATCTCAGGATCCCAGAAAACGATTGAAATGCCGAATTCCAGGTCAAGTGCTAGGAAGTTGGCTGACCTCTGAGGGAGGAGAGGCTCTGGAAAGTCTATTAAAAGATCACCAAGTGCTCCCAGTTCTCCCCCTTGGCAACCACCCTAACAACAGACTAGGTAGGGGGTAGTTTGGGCAAATTGTGTATAAACTAACTTGACTGAGGGGTTTGTGTGTGTTGCAGCCTGTGATGCCTGAGCTTATGCCGCCCCTCTCCCATCTTCCCTCTTGAGACGTGGACTTTCAATGGGCATCCGTGCTTTCATGTTGGTCTGTGTGTGTGTATGCTGGCTCTCTGCTCTGGAGAAGCTGGTGTTCTCTCTTAAGCACATAACTTACCTCTCCTGTTCTATTTCCAATAAACTTGTTGTATATTGTTTGTCTCCTGAAAGTCTTTTCTGTAAGGGAAAGGTGATGAACTTTCAAAAAAAAAAAAAGAAAAACGTGGATAAGTTTAGGTCTGACTTTACTTTGCTGCAAAGAGCAATTCCTTGTTCTAGCCTGAGTTCACAGCTCCCCGAGAAACTGGGTGCAGGGGTCATGCAGAACAAGAGGACATCAAGTGCAGCTTGAAAGCTGCCAGTAGGGCAGCAGGATGTTAGTATCTGTGCCATGCAGTGGCTCGTCCCAGACATTAATCAGATCCCAAACTCCCAGGTGCTTCCCTGGGTGGTAGATAGGGAGAGAAAAGCGGTAGATTTCCTTCTTGAGGCTACCACCTCTCTCCTCCACACTTAACATAAACCAGGGAGCCAGCCTCCAGTCCTCTGGCCACACTTCCCTTTGTAAATGAAGGACAGTGTGTTCAGACAGTTGCTACTGTAGCAGCTGTGGAGTCTCAGGTTCTTGTCCTCAAACAGTGGAAACTGAAAGCAGGAAGCAAAAAGCAAATGACAGTTCAGTAAAATAAGGAAAGGCAAAGGAGGGGAAAATGATTGCAGTGAAGTGCCCAGATTATGGGAGGGGTCTCCTAAAGCAGAATTCTGGAGAAAGGCAAAAGCCCTTCCCCTTTTATATCTCTTTAACAAAGGTGGTGAGTGAGCATTTCTTTATTATGTTCCAAGAATTTGGGTCATTAAAAATAGGAGAGAGGGCTGGAGCAATAGTGCGGTGGGTAGGGCTTTTGCCTTGCATGCAGTTGACCCGTTCGATCTCTGGCACCCCACATGGTACCTGAGCACTGTTAAGGACTGATCCCTAAGTGCAGAGTCAGGAGTAAACCCTGAGAATTTCCAGGCATTCCCCCCATAAAACATAAACACAAACCAAAGCAAACCAAAAAAGGGGGGAGAAGAGCTGGAGAGACAGTACAGCAGGTGAGATGCTGAGATGATTCTCTTCTGGGGCCTAAATCCAACAGGGCTTCAGTAATCCAGGTCATTAGGCACCACCACGGCAATGCTCACGACCTTCTACACCGAGAGATTCTCTTGCGATTAGGGTCACAACCCTAGTCTCGCCCTACCTGTTCCCCTTTTGTCTCTATCACTAGGATATTTGGTTGGTTACTCATCTTTTGCTATTTAAGTATTGCAGGGTCCAGGTCAACAGTACAGTGGGAAGGGTGCTTGCCCGGCACATGGCTGACCTCGGTTGATCCCCAGCACCACATATGGTCGCCCGAGCCCCATCAGGAGGAGTGATAATTGAGCACAGAGACAGGAGTAAGCCAACCCTGGTTTGAATCCCCTGTACCACAAATGACTCCTTGAGCACTGCCAGAGGTCACTCCTGAGCACAGAGCTAGGAATATCCCCTATGCACTGACAAGGGATATTCCTACAAAACTAACCAAGTAAATGTTGTAGGAGCCAGAGAGATAGTACGGAGGTAGGCAACAGCTCAGCAGTCAGTGGTGAGAACCTTGCATGCACAGGGACCCAAGTTCAGTTCCTGGGACTGAAATGCTTCCCTCTCTATGCAACTGAATGACAGAGAGAAAGAGACGGGGAAAGGAGAGGTAGAGGTTCCAATCGAAGCATCTTTTGCCATAAAATTTGGTGCCTAGTCCTCATCTCCTGAGAAAGCTTAAGAGACATAAAAGTTTAAATGGGTGTTATGGAAAACAGAAATATAGGGGCTCATTTAAGGTAAATTAAAATGACCAGGGTTCCCTGATTTGCTGAGATGGATGAGAGTTAGAGTAGTTCAGGTGCCAGTGGCCAAGGACTTAATCAGCCATATCTAAACAATAACCACCCCACCTCCACCACCAAATAGGGGCATCAAGGAGCTTCTAAGTTGGGGCACCACTACCTTGCTACCTTGCTTGACACCAAGCTCCATGAGGACAGAAACTACATATTCCTTACTTTAATATGTCTCCTTCATCTTTGAAGGGTGGTAGGGGGCACACCTGGCAGTTCTCAGGGGACCCTAGGGGGTGCTGGGGATTGAGCTCAGGCTGGCTGTGTGCAAGGCAAGCACCGTTTCCACTATAGTACCGCTCTAGACCCTAAGGCTTAAATCTTTAATTTGAGCTGATTTTCTCTGAAGGATTTGTATCCTGGTTGAGGCACAGGGGTAACACTAGGTGTGGTAAAAGGTTCTGGTAAAAATTACCTTCCTAATCTTGAACATTAGTGTTCCACCCTATTATTAGCACTGTAGCACTGTCCTCCTGTTGTTCATCGATTTGCTCGAGCAGGCCCAGTAACGTGTCCATTGTGAGACTTGTTGTTACTGTGTTTGGCATATAGAATACATCACGGGTAGTTTGCCAGGCTTTGCCGTGTGGGCGAGATACTCTCGATAGCTTGCTGGGCTCTCTGAGAGGGGTGGAGGAATTGAACCCAGGTCTGCTGCGTGCAAGGCAAATGCCCTACTGCTGTGCTATTGCTCCAGCCCCCCCTATTATTATCTCCCCAAAATATGCTCTTTCATGAATGACCACCAGATACTTGGGGTGAATCTTTCTCGAGTTAATTATTTTCAAAAACAAAGATTGGTCTGAGCTCACGCACACAACCCAGGGATGCTTTAGGGAGAACCTCAATCCTATAACTGTACCCCTAAACCTTTGTCCATGATCAAAACTGCAGACTTTTGAATCCATACTAGAGCTTCAACTGGTGCAGGGCTGTTCAGTAAGCAAAGCAAGAAGCTAGACCCCTGGGTCATGCACCCTCCCCCCAATTTTGGTTCAGATATTGAGCCTGACAGTGCTAACTTATTTCATAGGCCAGAGGGTGCAAGTTTCCCAAGCAGATCTGACATGGTAAGTGAGGAGATTGGTCTGGGCAGATACTGTGGCCAGGACTTGGGAACACCCATGTTCAGTCTCAAGTGGTTTGAACTTCTGCTGGCTCCAAGGGAGAGAACACCAAGCTCTCTTATCAGCATGCACAGGAGAGTTGT